TTAACTATAACATTTTTATAAAAAATTTTTCTTATGTATGAAAATAATTTTCTTTTAATTATTTCTGAACATTTAACTTAAAATGTACAATTTTGGCGCACTTCCTGCAATTTATTATTTTTAATATAAAAAGCTTCCGGCCATTTCACTTGCCTACGAACAGGCGGAGAGTGACATTATGAAACGCCAACCGAGAAATCCTTATCACGACAACTTGGTCAATCGCAGGTCAGGATAACTACTCTAAAAAAAAAAAAAAAGAATTTAGTTAAAAAAACAAACAGTCACAAAAATCGTGTAGTTTTTTAATTTATTTTAATTCAAATTGATAAAGTTTGAATTTGTTTGCCGTTGCAAACTTTATCAGCCGCGAATGCTGCATTTAAAAAAGAAAATACTTCATAAATGTTTTTTAATTTTTTTGTTATCAGTTCTCTCTGTGAAATATTTACATATTTACATATTTACATATTCACATACTTTTTAATTCAATTGGGACTTTTTCTGTTGTATTGTGTTAGTTATTCATTCTCCGTTTCTTACCAAAAATTAAATGTTTCCTTTGATTTTTAAATTGATGTGGAATGCTATAAAAAAACAACAAAATTACACTAAAATCAAAATTTTAAAAAAGAAATATAGAAGTAATCTTTAATATTATCATTTACTAAAGTAATTCAATCATATAAATACATACATTCTAGAATCTAAAACTCAGATATATTGATAATTAGCCATAAATTATCCAGTTTTGCACAAGATGCTTCAGTGTGATAGCATAATGAATCTCATAAAATGTGTATCACAGTTTCTTCTAATAATAATATGTCATACAATGAAATTATTACGCTCAACATTTATTGTCCAAGAAATAAAATTAGCAATTACTAGCAATTACAAAATAAATCTTTTACATCGCATACATATCCAAACACTACCTAACTGTATTGAAATATATATATTAAACAGTAATAGTAAATAAACTACAAAAATGATTAGTATAGGATAAAAAAGTGCTATATAATTTCATTAAAATTGCAAAAAAAATTCCAAAAGTATAAGAGAGAAAAGAAATAAAATTGCAATCAATTATAAAATAAATCTTTTACATCGCATACATATCCAAACACTACCTAACTATATTGAAATATATACATTAAACAGTAAAAGAACGAATAGTATAGGATAAAAAATTGCTACATAATATCACTAAAATTGAAAAAAATTCTAAAAGTATAAGAGGAAAAAGTTAATTGGTTATGATAGCATTGAGGTTACAAGCAGGTTACCTTATTTAAATATCTAAAATCTTTACGTTATTTAAAAAATATCTAAATTGGATGTGTACTTTAGACAAACTGTTTAGGTGCTATTACTGTAACTGTAACTGTCCAGAAGTATAGAATTCGCCTTCTTATCCCTATGTATGTCTTCTGTTTAGCGCCAAAGATCTGCTATGACTGCAGAGTTCTGTTTTACTAAGAGTCTAGAACCCTGTTATTTTTTATTATAACGTATACAATAATTTTAAAGTTTATAATAAAATTACAGAAAATATTTTATCAGTATCTGTATTTGTATACTTTTTTATATGAGTGTACTAAATCAAAATTTATTCTCTTAATAAACTCATCCTGCAGAATAGGTCATAATTTAACAAATTTTTTAATAAAATCGATTATTATAATAATATTGAATGGAGTAAATGATACAATATATAAAAAATTAAATAATTTCAAATATTTTTACAAATATAAAAAAAATATTAGCATTTCTTATAAAATAATTCCATTTGTAAAAAAAAAATTATTTCACCAATTAAAAAAATTAAATAACAAAAATTTATCTAAAAATATTAATAAAAATTAATAAATTAAATAATTTACATATTTTGAATATCACATACAAGAATCATAAAAGCATCATAAAAATTTGGTCAACAATTTTACACTATTTTTGCATATTAAAAAATGTTGAAGTTTAAAAAAGTAATTTAAAATTTTTTTCTATTTTCATAATGTGAATTAATTGTTGTTTTCTAAAAATATCAAAAAAAAAAATTTTTATTTATAAATTTTTTTAAAATATTTTTGTTCTTTTAAATGTTAAATTTTTGAACAGTTTTTCATAATTACTTTATCACCGTTTTTAAATACAGCCCCTATTAGATAGTTTAAAAATAATAATTCATAGTAATGTAGTTAAGGCAAAGTTAAACAATTTGCTTTTAATATAATTAAGAAATTTATTATATATATTACATATATATATATACATATATATATATATAAGCAAAAGCAAATATCGTTCGTAGTTAATTTAGACAATTTAGCGTTGAATGTATTATAATTTGTATTGATAGTAATGTAGTGTGTGTTAAATATGCCTTCCTTGCCAACAAAAAATACAGTTACACATATAAACTGTTGATACATATTTACATGATTTATATGTACATATATTTTACAAATGTAGACAAAATTTAAAATTGTGTTCAATAACTCGCACTTGACATCAAACACACGCGATATTCAAAGAAATTGGTTTTGAATTAGTTCTAGATAATATTTTACTGAACACTGTCAGAAATATATATAACAAACCAGTTACCCATAAAATATCTAAAAAAAGCGCTTCAAATGTTATTTAGTTTTCATTTAGGTTTTGGTACATGTGGTTGACTTAATTTCGTTAATTTTAGTTTTAATGTGAATTGATCTCTTGATTTACTATTGATTAGAGTTGAAGAATCAGTTATATAAAATTGATCTGAGTTTAGTCTGTCTATCAGATTTGCAGTAAGTTGTGAGTAAATTCAAATCAAATAAAAGGTATGTGAGAAGAGATTGTTTCTTTTATAGGTATGAGTCAGGCGCATGACAAGTAAGTGTTTTCATTTTTTGTTTAAAGCTCAAATATTCTAAAACTAAAGTGGAACTCTGGAAAGTGATAAAGAATTAATCAATTCATATTCCAATCATAGTTAGTATCTCAATATTTTTGTTAAATGTTTGAAATATTTGCACAGTATACGCAATTCCATAAATTAGTATTTAAATCCCGCTTAGCTATAAAATATAACAAGTTGCGTTGTCAAATCGCAGCGAACGGGAAAAACGCCGTAGTAAATCTCCTATAAAAGATGCATCTCTGCTTTATTCTCAAAGACTGATACGGAAAGCCTTTGTTTCTCTACAGTTCTCGTAAAACAAACCGATTACCTCCAAAATTGAGGAATGTAGAAAATGTTTGGGACTCTGTTGACTAACCTTCCATAGACTACTAATGTAATTAAATGTGGCACTATCAATACAAATATCCCACTGAATGCTGACTTAGCCAAATTACGTTTAAAGCTAACGTCTTGAATGTCCTTTATTATGCCTTACGGAATCTGTTTGTGAGTTCTGATATTGAAAGACTTAACTCAACATTCTTATGATATTCTATATAAATAAATAAGATATTTCCATATTTATACATTTTATACTTATATAACTATTTGTTTGCAATTCTTCTATTGTATACTTCTATTCGATGAATAAAATAAATTAAGTGCTCCACTTATCTTTGAACTCGAAACGCCGTCTAATTCTATTTTGTTGTATAATGTTCTTATCTCTTCTATTCTATTTTATTTTACTCTATTCTATTTTAATCTATTCTGATATTCTTGTATCCAAAATTCAACTTTTGTTTTTCCTACAATTATTTGTTTTGTTAAATGATTTCATTTAGAATTTATAAAGTAATGCGATCCACTTTTTTCACTATCTGGTCTCATGCTTGAATTTCTCACTCTCTCTCTCTCTCTGTGTATGTGAGGTTATTATAACATAATTTGTTTACGTAGGCTTCATCCTTATATATATAAAATATCTTTACAGTATATGAAATAACTTTTGCTGTTTTAAAAAAAAAATAAACTATATCTAGAGATCCACTTTAGTCAAAGTGGCTACAAAAGCTACAAAAAAATATCTGTGGCTTTTGTTTTTGATTTTTACAATATTTTTAATTATTATAATTTTTTTCATATTATATTTTTGCTTGATTAAATTTTAAATTTCAAGTTTTTACAATAAAAATCGTAAAATATTGAAATATTATTGTCGAAATGAAAGTAAGTAACTATACAATTAGAATTGAATACGTAGATACTAACTACGTATGTATGTATCTTAGCATGATTAATTTTTTATACTTTTAATTTTATAAATTTAGAATTTCTTTCTTATTTTTATTTCTGTACTGCATGTGCCTGTGTCTATATCTAATGAATATTTGTATGTAAATATAATGCATGTACCATTCCTGTATATATTTTCACTCATATGCATGTTATCTATCACAAATCACTATATGTAGTCTGTACATATGTATGTAGAACTTCATTTATTATTGTATAACAATTCTATCTGGTTTAGTTTAATAAAGTAAAAAAAGAATAAAACGTTAAAACGTTCAGTAAAATGCGCAAAAGTGCTTTGCTTTTATACTTGAATTAGTGCCACACGTAATGCATTTGCTGCATCTGCTTTCAAATGTTCTTACCAGTAAAACTGCAATATAAATTTGATTTACTAACAAATTCTTTGTAAAAAATGCTTTGCGCGTAAATTCTGCTTAATTTTCAAGCTCACTTTGTGAATAAAATAAAATAATTTAGAATTATTGAAAACTATCCACCACAAAATTTCCTGATTATCAGATTATCAGTAACAAAAAAAAAAATATTTACAAAATTTCTGTGCAAATTTTTGAAGTTTGTACAAATTTTTCAAAAAAATTTAAAAGTAAATAAAAAAAGTTGAACTGTTTCTAAGGTAATTTTATCTTAAAAACACGCCCAACAATTTGCTTACTTAATACAATAAAATCACTTTAACTCCCTTGACCCTATTAACATTTATTAATATCAATATGTAATCCTCTTAGCGAAAGATTCACTAATTTGTATTAATTTTTCAAATTCTTCAAAAAACACAATATACACACAGATTGATTTCAATGGCCTATGGACAGATCGGTATGATTCAAGCTGCTGCGGGCTTCTTCGTTTATTTTGTTATTATGGCTGAGAATGGTTTCTTGCCATTAAAATTATTTGGCATACGTAAAATGTGGGACTCAAAAGCTGTAAACGATCTTACTGATTCCTATGGTCAAGAATGGGTAAGTTCCATTATTTACTTACAGTAAACTAACTTTCTAAAATTTTTATTTTTCTTTTTCTTTCAGACCTATCGTGATCGTAAGACACTTGAATATACCTGCCACACAGCTTTCTTCGTGTCGATTGTAGTAGTACAGTGGGCCGATTTGATCATTTGTAAAACTCGACGAAACTCAATCTTCCAGCAGGGCATGCGGAATTGGGCTTTGAACTTTGGTCTCGTATTTGAGACTGCATTAGCGGCATTCCTGTCGTATTGCCCTGGTATGGACAAGGGTCTTCGCATGTACCCACTGAAGTAAGTAAAAATAAGTTGATAATTTTATATTAAAAACACTAAAATGATCAATATGTAGTGACAAACGAGTATCGTCTCTTCTACACAAATACTTTAGTAATTAAATCAAAAAAGACAAAAAAAATAATATGAAATGAACGGTCAGGCTATAGGAATTTATAGTAAAAAGAAAATAAAAATTTAAAAACTAATAACATAATAATATATATAATATCCATTTATATATATTCTTCGATACAGGGCATTGAAATATATAAAAAGTTCCGTAGGAGTGCGCTATATTCCTTCTTATAAAGTCCGGATCAGACATGTGCACCAAGCTAGTTGCTTTTAGAGTAATATTGTACATACTGTACCGCTTGAAAATGCCAATAATTTTAAACATAAATGCAAATTCATGTATGTTGCGTTTAAACTGATTATTATTATATAATTGTTATTAGAATGTTCATTGTATGAAACTCATCCGGATATATAGTAGTTCATTATAAAAGCTTAGTGATTTATCTTCCTTTGCTTTGTTAGCGTTTATTTCATACTTAAAAGGTCTCGTTGACTAAGTTACTTGAAAATGACACTAGCAAAAAAGTACATTAGTATTTAAATCGAATGAAAATTGTTTCAATCTTAAACCTAATGCTGACAGGTTTCTTTGATTTAAATTGATTTGAACTCAGGTTAACCATTGTTCAAACTAATCGAATATGTTACTGTTAAATACTTTAAGATAATTAATTTATTAAATGCAGAGTAAAATAGTCGAAAGAAAAGAACTACAAAGCCGAATACAAGGGTTAGGATATGGACAGGCAATGATGTAGTGAAAGGGGAAGAGTTTGATTAGGAGGAAGAATGGATTAGAGATATGGGCAAGATTTAGGTTGAAGTCAACCAGGGTCAAGGCGGAGAAACCAAACCACTTCAATATGCGTGAGTCTAAAGATCATTGGACTCAAATTTGTGTTTGCATAGGGTCAGGAAAATATATGTACGATTTCAATGCTTCTAAATTTGTTTAGGATAACTTAGAATAGGTAGCACAATATATCTCGAAAAGCCACGGTGTGTTATTGTTCCTTCTAAAACTTGTAATTTAATTAAATAATCACATTTTATTTGTTCTAGAAGTTCATCTGAAAAGTACATATTATAAAACGATTACGGTTAGTTAAGCTGATATGAACTCGTTGTTGTTGTGATCTTTCACGAATCTTAATAGTGATCCGAAAGCTTAGTGTACATATATTTCAAGAATGATAAGGTCTATGTCTCGGATGCACTCGTCGAGTTCGACGACCAAGTGCCGTTTACTACACCCTACACCCTATTGTAGTGCCGTTCACTACAAAAATATAATAGCCAGTAATAATTACATACAAAGTTAAAATAGATTTATGAAGCTATATTGATTGGAAAAGAAAATATGTGTAATACTTAACAATATATGATACAATTCCTTAAGATTTTAATCGATAAAAACTTTTATGTGTGCTATTTTTTACTTGAAAAAATTTTAAAAAATATCAATATAAATACTTTGTATGTATATAATTACTTAACATACTTGTACTTTATAAGTAATATATGTTATTTAGAATTAATATTATTTTTAATCATTTATATTATTCAATTTATTAATATAATTAATTATATTACAGACTTGTTTGGTGGTTCCCAGCCATTCCATTTGCGTTGGCCATTTTCATTTATGATGAAACACGTCGATTCTACTTGCGCCGTAATCCAGGTGGCTGGTTGGAGCAGGAGACATATTATTAAACAACACACTATAGCAACTATTATGTTAATAATATTTATAAATACCACAACAAAAACAATAAAGCAAAAGTAAATAATACTGCAACAATAACAGCGACAACAAATAACTTCATAAAATATAGTAATAAAAGAACAACAACAACAACAACAACATCAACAAAAACTTTATATGCGAATCCAAGAAGAGTAGAAGAGCAGAAGAAACAGAAGAAAATGGAAAAGAAAACAATTATATTTTTATTTTTAATTTTAATTTTTATTTAATAAGGAAAAAGATAATTATTTAAACGATTAAGTAAATTTAAATTATAAAATATAAAGCATTAAGCATAAAGTTAAATGATTAAAAACCTAAAGTTGAAATAAATAAATAAAATAAATAAATGAGTGGAAAACAAAATCAGCCACATACACATAAAACAATAATCAAGTATATTTGTTTTTAGTGAAAATTTAAATTTAAATTCATATATGTTTATATATATATATATGTTTGTATATGTATATATATGTATACATATATATATATATATAAAATAAAGTATAAATTTGCTATTACAAAAACGTTTAAATATCGTGAGGATGCAGCTTAAGAAAATTTAAATTATAATTACAAAAATATATAAAAAAAAATCGAATGGCAAAACTAGCAAAACAGATTTACACACAACGCAAGATAAAATAATTTATATAATAAATATAAATAAAACAAAAAATTTAGAGAAATTATTTTAAAAATAAATAAAAAAAACAGTATAGAGTAGTTAAATAATAATAACAAAAATTATATAATATAATTGTTTATATATTAAATAAAAAAAATTAAAAATTAAATGAATTAAGTTTGAATAAATATTTTCCTAATAAGCCCCTAAAACTACGACAACAACAACAACAATAACAACCAGATGTTTAATTACAGGACAGCTACAGCAAAGAAGAGCAACAGCAAAAATAAAAGTAAACAAAAAAAACATTTACGCCCAACATATATTTATTTCTAATAAAATAATAAGATTTAGATAAAAGAATTAAATACTTTTAGGAGATAAATTTGTAGTTTATTAAATCCAATTTATACATATATATATGTATATATATATATGCAAGTATATATACATATGCACGTATATATACATGTATATGTATTACATAAATAAATTAAAAGAAAAAAAATACTAAAATAAAAGAAAAGCTGTAATCGATTGCAAATTTTTACCAAACAAGGAAAATTCATTTAAAAGAAAAAGAAGAAAACAAAAACAAGAAAAAACACTGCATACATCAAAACAAAAAAAAAAAAACAAAAACCAAAATTTGGCTTTAAATGCATTTCTCTTCTGTATAAAATTAAAAATTCCAATAACAAACCAAATAGAAATTAAAACATGTATCTGTACTTTTCATTCACACATACAGAAGACACCAATTATACACAATTAACCAATTAACTTAGACCACCAAATCTAATTGTAAACTACACTTCTCTCGCTAGATCTTCACTAACACTTACACATAATAAATAGAACTACAAATACAAACACATACCAATACCCAGTACTAAATTCATCCACAGGCAGAGACCGAAACAGAAACAGCAAGAGCAACAGCAATAGCGAATGCAACAGCAAACACATCTATGTACATCCTTTACACACACATAAGCATAACATAAGCTCGCCACCAAATTTATTTAATAGAATTTAATAAAGAACTAATTTTAAAAATTATAATAAAAATTGTTTGTTATTGTTGCTTCTACTTTTTATATATTGTATATTTTCTAGCTCGCTAATTATCTAACTTTGTTTGACTGTGTACCTTACCGCACTATTTATGATACTTACTATATCTCTGATACAAATTTCTCCCAATACCAACTACCAACAAACCCCAATTCCAAACATATAACTATGTCATATGTCAAATCCAAGCCATCCATCCAAACCATTTCCATTCTCTTTTTAGTTCGAAAGTTTTTCCTTGCAAAAATAGGCCTAGAAGTCCACATAATTATTTTAGAATAAAGAAATTATTTTATTTATTACTTGAACTAATAATTAGAGATAAAAATTCATACAATGAAAACAAAAGAAAACAAAACAAAACAAAACAAAACAAAAACAAAAAGAAAAGAAAAAGAAATTTCGTAAACGTGTTCATAAATAAAATTAAAATAAATTTAAAAATTAAACTAAAGAATTAAGTTGTTTTTATTCTCGAATTTGCTGATTTTTTGATGATTAATGAACGATTGATAATTGATGATAAAGTTTGATAAATAAAAAGCTGGAAAATGTTAGTTATTGACAACAATTTAGTTGTTAAAGATTTAATTAATTAATTAAAAAAGAAATTATATAACAAAATTTGTTTAAATTTTATTATAAAAATGATTATGTAATGAAATTATAAATAACAATTATTTATAATAAAAGTTTTTGAACGGAAAACCTCGAGAACAACAAATTGAATATAATAAAAATAAAACTTTATTAACTAAAAGTAAAAAAAGCCCTTTAAATAAAAATATATAAACAAAAATAAAATAAAATAAAATAAAATGAAATAAAGAAAAGGAAAAGTAAAAGGAAAAACCAAGTAACAAACATTTTTAATTTTTTGTTCTTTCGCCCTCCGCTGTAAATGTATATGTAGTTTTAAACAAATAAAAAGTGAACAAAAATTAAATAAAAATACAAAAAAGAAAAATAAAAAAATAATAAAAAACGATAAAAACACAAAAATGATTTATTTTTTTATGAAATTCAAGCAATTAAATTATTTGAAGACTTAAATTTGAAAGTTTCTTAAATATTTTCCCCATAAAAAGTTATAGCCCGAGAACGTTTCATCTGCTTTTCTTACAGTCATGACTATAAAGACCTACTATTAACATTAAAAGTGTTTAAACAGAAAGTTTCTACAAGGTTGATGTTAAATTATTATTCAGTTGCAGACATAGTTAAAATGAGGGCTGTTGTTTTTGAGAATTACAACAGAATAAGAAGCAACAATACAAATACAAAAACTGTGTACAAAAAGCAACAACATCCAACAAAAAACACCAACATTATATTTGTTGAATCTCTAATTAGGATTTCATAAGTTTTTTAGAAGTCAAGCAAGCACAAAAAAAGAGAAGCATTCTAGTAGCAAATTCTGTGAATATACGATAGCTCTTGTAATGGAACATTCAGAGGCTGACCTAGAGAAATGTAACTGCAATATAAACTGAGTCCATGTTTTGCAACATTACACGTCAATTGGAGAAAGCCACAGCTGAATTAGGAGCAGCATAAACAAATTTGTATATGCTGTGCGACTGTATAAGAATTGGATAATGTTAGTTGCAGTTGTTACTTTTATTTGTAATAAGTGTCTATTTAGAACCATATATGAGAAAAATGGTGTATCATTGAAATTACTGCTTTAAACCCATTTCCATAATTAAGAGTGGAGCAGAGATTCTTATGGTTATTAGGCTATTAGATATTAATCTGTATGGCAGGGGTGGAAAAATGTACAAGATATCAACTGATCATGTTTTTTATAAGTGATTTAAACATTCTAGCGGTCGATTTGTCTATGGCTAAAGGGTAATTAATATCTCTAGGTAGATCATTTATCATTTCTTTCGATATTTATCTCACCACAGAAGATCAAATTAATTTACAAACGAATATAGAAGTACAATTTATACAGTTAATTTTTTTTTTATACAATAATTTTAACGATATTGAAGTAATCTTTTCTATTTGGTGCTTTTTATACAAGTTATCTAAGCATGAATATTTCGTATCCAAGATATTTTTATCCATCCTATGCTATGTCTTAAATTTTTATATATTAATACACAAAATTTACCATCCTACCATTGACTCTGCTTGGAGACGGATGAGGTACTAATCAGAGGGTGATAAAGATATTGCTGCGCCTTAAATACTCATCACCTTTCTATCTTAGGATGTCCTCAATAGCTGAAACTTTGGACTTCATTTAATAAGCGGAATGTCTTCTGATTTTTTAAGGTAGGTGAAGGAAACAAAAGATCAGCTACGTTTGCAGTGCTTCGCTCTACTGAGAGCCAGTACCCCGTCTATTTTATTCTTTTATTCTAATAAACAAACTTTCGAGCATAATATGAGTATAATATAATATATTTTTATTTGTTGATTAAACCTATATATACATTTTTATACTGATATTTGTACTTTGAGTTTATTAAACTATATTTTTAAAATATTATAACAACCAATAGTCTCCAATGGAACCCAGAAGACTTTTAGCAATAAAATAGTCGCGACAGACGGCTAAAATGTCATAGCATAAGCTTTATGTATATAATATAATTGGTATGAATTTCTATGAAATACAACAAATATAAAAAAAAAAATAAAGTAAAATAAAGGTGAAATACAGAAAATTACTAAATAAAGATACAGAATAACGAACTTAGGAATATAAATGTAGAGTACTTAGTTAACAGAAAATGGTCAAAACGTTGTAAGAGTCATTGAATCCCAACGCATGACATGGAGGCAACACATAGTATAAGTGTTTGCTAATAGATGATATTATATAATATTGTAATTAATAACATAAAAAGGGAAAGAACTTATGATTGAAAAAATATACCGAAAATGAGTGAGAGATTTGTTTAAGGAAATACTGCACCATTCCGGGCTGCATATTAAGAGTGATGATGATATTATAGAAACTTGAAAATTTGATGGAAAATAACTCTTGCGAAAGTAACTGATATAAATTAAAGAAGAATATAGGATGTGTGTGGTCAATTTTTGCATTGTTATTTGTCAATTTTGTTAATTTTTTCTGTAAATTATTGGTTCTTTGAAATTATAAAGAAGGTAATGGATCTAACATTGCTATATATATATATAAGCAGGTATGTTATACTCTTTAGTACTTTTTCTTTCATCAATTCACATTTCAATTGCTAAGTCGTTATCATTACTTATCACTGAGAATACCAATACCAAGTTACCAAGTACTAAGTTAATGCTCTCACAGTGCATTTGTAGCTGTTTCATATGTCATATCTGTGGTTTACAATGCTTTAGAGCGCCTTTATCTCTGAAACATGTTAAAGTATTTGCAATAGATTTGCAGTTTCTTTGTAAGATTTGCTTATGAGAGTATTTTAAGCTATTGAATTCGTTTTTTTTTTTTCAAATAAAAAAGGTATCCATTTTCAAGGTATCCATTAATAAAAAATTTTGAAAGTATCCAAAATATATTGCTATATATTAATATCCAGTAACAGGTTTGATATTAAACCTGAACAGCTTTGTGTGGAATGTAAGCAATTTAATGAAATATAAAGTAAAATCCAGGCAAAATTAAAAGTAAATATCTATTATTAGTAATTTACAGAAATATTGAAACGTACCATTGTATCAATTTATACTAATTTAGTTTAAATTGATTTTCACACAAATGACGTCACAAGAAAGTACAGCATACATTTTGGTAAAATATGTATATCAAAAGGATATGTCAAAAAAAAAAACTGATAACAAATAAGAAATTTATTTAAGAACGGTCAAAGCAAATTTGCAATGGCAATGCCTAAGTTATTCTTTAGTATTCGTCATTCTTTATATCCTGTTAATCGATGACTTTCACAGTCAGTTGCACAGTGACTGTGAGATAAGAATACTCTACTCCTGCCAACTTGTATATTGCATGTGAGTGTATATTCAAATATGCATATTTGTGTATATCCTTCTAAAGTTATGTATGGCGAGGCATGTGGAAATGTTCACATCACCACACATCGTCGTTGTCGTCATCATCGTCATCGTCAAACAAATCTCCTCATCATAGCATACACTTCTATTGTCCTTGTCTTGTTCTTGTCTTCAAATGGTTTTCTTTTATTCGAATCCAACAAGTTTCCTTGTTAGTCAAGAACAATAAACTTAGCACATAAACAAGACCATTAAGAGTAGGAAAGCTAAAATCTTATTTCACTAAATTTTATGGGTTCACGTTGATTTCGGTTAAATCAAAGCTAAAAGGAGGAAAAAATAAAAATTGTGAATGGTTGATGTTGAGCCCCAAATAAATGAAATTATTAAAGTGCCTCTTGTCTGTCTTAACGAAGTTAATAGAGTGGGATGAAAAATGGAATGGAAGTAAAGAAAAGTTACAATTTTATTCACTTTTTTACATATTACGATACAATGACGGTCATTACCAGTTATATGAGTAACTACTTTCCACAACTCATAATTATTGTATATGTACTATATGTCGTAGATACTTTACTTTACTTTATGGATGCACTTTAATGTGGATTTATTTATATATTTACTTGTATGTGTGATAAGTACATAACTTTTTCTTATTAAACTATTTTAAATGTACCTATTCTTCGTTCTTGTCATCCATATTTTCCGAATGTGTTGTAAATAACCAAAATAATTATTATTAGATTGAATGGTTTCGACGTAACACGATACAGACTTAAGTGTGAGTCCATATACGACAAAATCTCACTTATATTGTATATTTCTTTTTTGGATTAGATTTACATATATGAAAAGCAGAATAAATCCCGAAACTTTAAGTGAAGATGACCTGATTTAGAATGTAGTTATTAAAGCTCACCAAATATTGTATATTGTAAATGATGAATTTGGAAATTGACATATGTACTACCTACCATGAAAAGAATATCAATAACTAAGTAAAGAATTATATATCGAAAATGTTTTATTTATTAATTTTAATCAATGGTTAAAATAGATCTGTAAATCAAATTTAATAGGTATGGATACATTGCCTGTAGTTTATCCACTGCGACCTCACTTATTAGAAAATAAGCACAAAAAATTCCCAGATAATTATATATATATTTTATAGCCTATATTACGTGCTGATGCATTTATAGAATCCATTATACATTATACCATAGATGCATAAAAAGCATATTAAAATAATCATACTGTTTATTATTCTTAAAGTTTGTGATTCCTACTAAAAACAAAAAACGTTAAGAACCACTGATTTAAATCGTCGACAAATTGTATTCGAAAACAAGGAAGGTATTAGAATATAAATTCAAATTAAACAACCATATAGAGTAACATTTTGATACTCTATATTTTTTGACTTTGTGGTAGGGCTTAATAAGTCACATAAGAATTGATTTCAGTGAGTCCGTTAACAGTCTCACAAGAATCGAATTAGCCATTTATTTTGTAAATTGGAGTCTTATTTCGGAACAAGATCAAACAGAACTAAATCTTTACAACAGTTGATTGTAACCGAAAGAAGCTGTTATTGAAGGAAAGATACCCTGAGCAAACGCTGTTGGCAGGGTAAAAGATTGATTGCTATGGCCGGCGTTATTATCTCAACAAAATTTATCTATTATGCACCAGGGGAGAATACTAGACTGATAACATCTATCCCCAAATAATATAAAAAACTGATTTTTGATGGCAGCTGAAATTCTGATGAGGCCAGATCGTTGTATCTTCTTCCGTTTAGTTAGATCCGATTTGTAAAATAAAAGATCTCAGTGCAGCTTTAAGGTCAGTACTATATTAAAGTCAAATTTTTGATTTTAGAAATATGTATAACTTTTTATTGCATACAAGAAAACACAAGCAACCAATTAATTTCTAGTTTTGAAATCGTAAACAAATGTAAGCAAATAAAAAATTTTGGGAGTATATATCTGGTATAATATATCTCCATTTAAAGATAATAGAAATAATTTTGAGAAATGTCTGGAAAAAATCGAAAATCCAAAGAGCATATCAACGAACTAAAGCGTGAACTTGAATTCGATCACCACTTGATTCCGTTAGATGATCTGTATGCTAGACTTGAATCTGACCCCGAAGTGGTAAGTATCAGAACTCAGTCATGCAATATATTAATATTGTGATGTGCAAAATGATTGTATATCCTAAAACAATAGGGACTCAAATCGGCTATTGTGGAACGTAATTTAAAACGCGATGGAAGGAATGCACTGTCTCCACCAAAGCAAACTTCAGCTTTTGTCAGACTTCTAGAACAAATGTTTGGTGGTTTTGCCTTATTGCTTTGGATTGGTGCTATTCTATGTATAGTCGCTTATATCATCCAACATCTACAAAATGATGAAGATGAAGATCTACCATATGATTATTTGTATTTAGGAGCAGTACTCGCTGGTGTGGTTATAGTCACAGGCCTCTTCTCATACTATCAGGTGTGTCCACAATACCCATATTTATTATCGCTAGTATAAATGTATATATAATATCTATACTGATTTAACTATCTTTTAGGAGTCGAAGAGTTCAAAAATTATGGATTCTTTTAAAAACATGATACCACAATTTGCCACTGTCGTACGGGATGGTGAGAAACATATAATAACTGCTGAACATGTAGTACTGGGCGATATTGTAGAAGTAAAATTTGGTGATCGCATACCAGCAGATATTCGTATAATTGAGTCACGCAATTTTATGGTTGACAATTCTTCCATAACTGGTGAGTCGGAACCGCAATATCGTTCAGTAGATCAACAGCATAAAAATCCATTAGAAACAAAGAATGTTGCATTCTTTTCTACAAGTGCGATAGAGGGAACAGCCAAAGGTATAGTCATCGGTATTGGAGATGGTACTGTTATGGGCCGAGTGGCTGGTTTGGCTTCAGGAATAGTGCAAGGTACAACGCCTATTGCCAGAGAAATCCACCATTTTATCACTATAATTTCCGCATTTGCATTATTTCTGGGAATTACATTTTTCGTTATTGCGTTATGCATGGGATACTTTTGGTTGGATGCTGTTGTATTTCTAATTGGTATCATTGTGGCAAACGTACCAGAGGGTTTACTGGCAACTGTCACTGTTTGCTTAACTCTCACCGCTAAGCGTATGGCACATAAAAACTGTTTGGTAAAAAACTTGGAAGCCGTCGAAACTTTAGGTTCGACATCTACAATTTGTTCCGATAAAACCGGAACTCTTACCCAAAATCGTATGACAGTTGCCCACATGTGGTATAACGCAAAGATAGTTGAAGTTGATATATCAAAAGGTGCAGTGATCGACAAAAGGGAACATGGCTTTCAAGCACTTTCACGTGTAGCTGTTCTGTGCAATCGCGCAGAGTTCAAGCCAGGACAAGATAAATTGCCAGTAATGAAACGGGACGTGACAGGTGATGCTTCGGAAACAGCCATACTGCGCGCGATGGAATTGATACTAGGCGATGTTATAGCCATAAGGAAACTGAATCGTAAAGTTACGGAAATACCTTTTAACTCCGTTAACAAATATCAAGTTTCGATACACGAAACCAATTCGGACGGAGATGCAAAATACGTTCTCGTTATGAAGGGTGCACCAGAAAATATCGTGGAACGTTGTTCAACAATTTTTATTGATGGCACTAATGAACCATTTAATGAAAGAGAAAGAGCCGCTTTCCATCAAGCCTATATGGAACTTGGAACGTTGGGAGAGCGTGTTTTGGGTTTTTGTGATTATGTTTTCCCCATTTCGGAATTTCCTGCTAATTACCAATTTAATTCAGAAAATCCGAACTTTCCTCTTGAAAATCTGCGGTTTGTTGGTCTAATTTCAATGATTGATCCCCCACGCCCGGGGGTACCCGATGCGGTAAGGAAATGTCGTTCGGCTGGTATAAATGTAGTCATGGTTACTGGTGATCATCCAATTACAGCTAAAGCAATCGCAAAATCAGTTGGCATCATATCACCTAAAAGCGAAACAGTTAATGAAATCGCAGATCGATTAAATAAACGTGTTTCCGAAGTGAGCCCACGCGACGCAACTGCAATAGTGGTGCATGGTTCTGAGTTACGTGGTATGAACGAAACCGATCTGGATATTATTTTACGTTATCATAAGGAGATAGTGTTTGCACGAACATCACCGCAACAAAAGCTGATGATTGTTGAAGGATTTCAACGTGCTGGTGCAATAGTTGCGGTTACTGGAGATGGTGTGAATGACTCACCGGCTTTGAAAAAGGCGGATATAGGTATAGCAATGGGAATAGCTGGCACTGATGTTTCCAAGCAGGTAACCCACTAAAAATTAATTAATACAAACTACTGTATATTAACTACTTACAAATTTTTTAGGCTGCCGACATGATTTTATTGGATGATAATTTTGCGTCAATTGTAACTGGTGTGGAAGAGGGTCGTATAATATTCGATAATTTGAAAAAATCGATTGCTTATACATTGTCTTCAAATATACCAGAGATAACACCATTTTTAGCATTTATTATTTTTAATATTCCACTGCCATTGGGTACTGTTGCTATTTTACTTATTGATTTGGGTACCGACATGGTAAGCCGGTTACATATTCTAAAAATTTTATTTCCTTATAAGCATTATATCATATTTGTAAGGTGCCTGCCATATCGCTGGCATATGAAAAAGCTGAGAGTGATATCATGCAACGGCATCCGCGAAACCCTAACCGTGATAACTTGGTGAACAAAAGGTGAGCAATATTTTAGGAAAACTGACATTATTATTTATTATATTATTATTAACACCTTTTGCCATTGTACGGGTGACTTCATAATTCTATCGGTATAGAACTTCTGTGGTCTACTGCGTAAAACTAAGCAGATGGTGAAAGGTCTAAACAATACGGTAGACTTTGTACCATCTAACTGCAAAACATTCCAACCAACCAAAACTTTTTTATTTTTTATCCGAACTTGGGATATATGTTGGCTGAGATTTTGCTGTGTTTTCTTATCTTGTTTTGAGATAATGATGAAACTGATTTAAATCCGTTTTAGATAATGCAAATGATTTTTTAACATCGTACGTATTCCTTTTTGGGATATAATTAACTTATTATCATATTAATAAGAAGAGTAATACTAACTTGATTACTTCAACATTGCAGACTTATATCTATGAGTTATGGGCAAATTGGAATGATGCAAGCAGCTGCTGGGTTTTTCACTTATTTCGTCATAATGGCAGATAATGGATTTTTACCTGAACGTTTACTAGGTTTACGTCACGAGTGGGATTCAAAGACCATAAACGATGTAACCGATTCATATGGTCAAGAATGGGTAAGCTTTTTACATGCTTAATGAAACTTTTATAAAATTTGTTTTGCAGACCTATAATCAGCGAAAAGAATTGGAATACACCTGTCACACTGCTTTCTTCGTTTCCATAGTGATTGTACAGTGGGCGGATTTGATCATATGTAAGACACGCAGGAATAGTATCTTCCAACAGGGCATGACCAATTGGGTACTTAATTTCGCACTCGTATTTGAAACAGTTTTAGCCATATTTCTATGCTATTGTCCAGGTGTTGATGTAGCTCTACATTTTTACCCCCTTGAGTAAGTTTTGTTTTTATCCGAATATACATATAAATAAAATCGTGATTTGTAAAAATTAAATGAACAATTTTAGTTTTGTTTGGTGGCTGCCAGCAATGCCTTTCGCTGTACTTATTTTCGTTTATGACGAAACTCGTCGTTTTATCATGCGTCGTAATCCAGGTGGTTGGGTGGAAAGGGAGACCTATTATTGATTCTGTTAATATATTTTATTTCATTATTTCAATTGTGCATAATTTCGTTATGGATTAGTTTGCATTTTACGTTAGAATAATAAAAAAAAATATTTATAAAATTTAAAAAAAAATAAATTTTGCTCGTTATAAAGTAATCAATGGCTACTCTTTCTTCACAACTGCTCACGATCAGCTTCAACTAGTTACAACTACTAGTAACTGGGATTACCTGAAGGCTATGGACTTATGATGTCACTCTGCAAATTGATTGCTGTTGATAAGGAAATTAAAATTCAAATACCATATTTTTGATTCGAAAATAAATAAAATATTTCGTGGTATCAATTATAGTGAACTGATCTTATCAGTTGTCCATACTGGCCAGTAAATTTTTTATATTTAGAAACGTCATACATAAAGGTTTTATATTTAAGAAATTTTGTCATAAATTTATTTTATCTTTGCTTAAAAATAGAAAATCTCTGATAATTGGTATCAAATTAAATTCAGATTGACGTCATTGAATATTGACATCATTTCTGGTATATAAATATATACATTCTTATTTTACGAAAATTGGAAAATTGGATTTCCTTATGATAAAGTTTTTTAATTTTGTTTTTTAGCTATAAATAATAAATTAATTAATTATTTGTAAGATTACAGAAATTTTAGAAGTGGCACTATGCATTTGAAGTATTGGAAAATAAAGAAAAATTTTATATTTTCGCAAGTGATTAGAAAAGTAATGATTTTAGAGGGGTCAAATATTCTTTCGCCTCATTATTTTACGAACATACTACTTTCTTTTTTATATATGTTGTATCCAGTCAAAGGATTATGCAAATTTTTTTTGAGGTGGATGGAAAGCATCGAAAGCTACAATGTGAGATTTCAACCCACTAAAACCACCTCTTCGATTATACATATATGGAAGATTATAACCCCATAACTTGAAGGTTCAGCGATTTAAACTTCATTTTAGTAATGAGATGCAGAAAGGAGAACAAAAAGATAGCGAAACCGAAAGTAAACCGGAATATGTGACGAATGTAAGCTTGCCATTATCCTCATCATAAAAAGGAATTAGTGGGCTTAAACCTTATGCTCTCAAGCATTGGCACATGCCGTGTGAAATATTTCCCACCAAGTGAAAACAACTATTCCCCTATTTGAGTAAACTTGAAAGAAATAAGAACTAAGAAGTTATGTTAGTGTTTCTCACATGATCTGAGTCTGTAGTTTACACAATCACAAAGAACTCTTCTTTCGATGGCCTGAGTCAATTCCGGAACAAAGGCGTATAAGGAAGGGACGTTTGGTTATGCACTAGTGCAAAGCAGAAGATATTTACAGGTTGGTTCATTACAATACATTACATTAATACGTCCATTTCTGAGAATTCATAAGCAATAAATTCTATACATATTTCGCAATTTCGCATAGAATGTTACAATATTTCGCTGTATTCAGTTATGTTTTTTAAATTAAAGTATACATTTTTTTTTATAAATACTAAAATAGAAATATAACTTTAAATTAAATTTTATCTGAATTTTATTAAATTATTTAGAATACATATCAAAATATGAGACTGGTAATACTTTTTTATTTCTTCATTTCCATTTAAGTGAATTTATTCAATATTACGAAGAGAAATCTTTTAAGAGCAAATAATGTTTTAACTCAATTGAATTTTCCTGTATTTCCACTACATTGAATTTTCTCTTCAAGAAAAATGTGTATTAGGGCAGAAAAGTCTTTACTCATTTTTTGCCAAATATGCGTTGAGTTTGTTCGAATTATTATTGTTGCTATTGTTGTTGGTATAGCATCTTTTAAGCTCACATTGAAAATATATGCAGCAGATTTAATACTAGCATGAGTGAGTAGATGTGTGTGGGTGTGTATTGTCGGATGTTTGTGGTAAAAGTGTTGAGTGGAAGATGAGTGTATATATACAAGCGTGTGTGTGTAAGTAATAACTGCAATATGAATTGAAGAATGTTTAAACGAATTAGGCGGGTGTAGCAATGCAGTTAGGAAAATATGTTTTCGCTTAAATAGAAAATGGCCGCTTAGGTTAATTTAGTTGAAGAGGAAATTCTTATTTGAAATACGTTAAGTGGCTTTCGAAATTTAATACAGCATTTATTTAATTAATGAAATAACATAATTAACATTTGAAAATAATTTTAAAATATAATTATTAACAAACTATTAATTTTTACCCTCCTGATTTCTTTATTTCTAAGAATTAAAAAAAACTTTGATTTTAATTGAATTTAAATAATAATTATAAAATTGAATTTAGATAGTAATAATAATAATAATGTTAATTTTCCGAATAATAACAAAGAAGTCGCTGAATTTTTATACGCTTAACTATGTCGATGTTGCTGTATAACTCTTACAGCGCATCTTTCCATAGGACCATAGGGACCATAGATCTTCCGAGAAAATATTCTTTTGAATACTCCATCTGCTCAATACAGGATAAGATGCTTGTAGGGCGTGATGTTTGTTTGTCTAGAGAGGGATTTATTTCTCAAATGTCTACTTAGCCCTATATAACATTAACATCTGTTGGCTGGAATTATTCTTTTTTAAATCTATAGGCTGACATCATTTTTGTTGTTTACTTTTTTGCTTTCTTTTTCAAATTTTTTTTGTTTGTTTCAAATTATATGGTACTTCTGTAAAGTCGCTTAAATAATTTATTTTCATAGAACATTTTTTACAGTGATTACAGACACTATTGAGTAAAAGTGCTTTGGACATTAATGTGCATTTCATCCAGTAAAGAAGAAGATTGCATTAGTTACATTGCCTTCTGTTCCAATATTTGTAATCTTTTATCTATTACGTTAAAAGTTCAATTGTCATGTTTATCAACATTTTTGAAAAAGTTATTAGTTCTTACTTACAATGTACTTCTGAGTTTTTTACTTACTAAAATGGCCATAATAATTCGTTACCAAATATCGGTCTGATGCATCACTTAGGCGCCTCTGCAGCATGCGCGCTTTCTCCGGTCTCGTACCTGAAGTGCGATTACGTTTTCTTTACTTGATGACTCTATCGGAGACACGTTCTATGTCATCTTCCACTACCTACTGCTTCAAATACTTTTTTCACTGGAAAATGTTCATCAATTTTCACGATATGACAAAGCCCGCGAAGCTGCTGGATATTAATTTACTGAACTATATGAATGTCAAAGAACTGCAAAGAACTTTTTTCTCGTAAACTTCTAGTGCTATTACATCATTTTGTGATAGTGTCCATAAATCTGCGCCATACAGAAACATGGGGAGAATGAGTGACCTATAGAGACTCAGTTCTGACTATTGAAAGATGCTCTACATTTCAATTGCTTATTAATCCCATAGAAGCACCTATTGCGAAATGGTGATTCTTCGTCTGATATTCAGGATGACATCGTTGTTATTTTTTATGGGGGTTCCAAGGATAATTAAATCTTTGACAGATTTAAAAGTATAGTCAGTAGCCACCAGCGCGGTGTCCGAGTGACGTACATTTCTACCAGTATCCAGTTTATCAGTTACCAGTAGGCATATACTTCGTTTTATCCTCATTTACCAGTAAGCCCATTTTCGCAATTTTCTTTTTAATACCAACAAAGACAGCTGCAACATCAAGCTTTGATGACATCTATGACTTTTGATATATCTAGGCCTTGAGTATACATCTTTGCATTAATACTTGAACCGTTTATAATTGTATTGTTTCTTTTCAATCAATTTGTGTTATTTATTTTTTTTTGAAAGGGTATATCAATTTCAAGTCAAAGAAACCAAAACAATTTTAGAAGGAAATATTGGAATAGAAAATAAAACATAAAAATTTAAGTTAATTTATTGAAGTTTGCCTGGTTATATCACGCTGTTTCGAGTATGGTCTAAATATAATTTGCTTACTTACTAAAATATGCATAACAGAAGGCTCTGTAAATACAATAGCTTTGAAATAAAAATAGGAAACTTCAAGAATTAAGTTTCAATTCGTTGAACCAAGTACTTGTAGTGCAAACAACTTATATATGGACTATAAACTAAATATAAAATTCGAATATTTTCTAAGATTAATATTTTCTAAAATGATGAGAGCTTGGCTCAAAAGTACGTTTTGTGGTCACCCAAACTTCAATAAATTAATCAAAAATTTATGTTGTTATCTTTTCATTTCTATTCGAACCCTTCTAACTTTTAAATAGTTTATTTTATTTAACATTAACATTAATTTTTTTAGATCATCGTATATATGTTTTTAAGGATTGTCTGATATATAAAAGAATGGAATAGAATAGTTTGATTACATATTTTGCTGAAGTGTACTCTTGAGTTCGATGTAAACTTATGGTGTTTAATAAAGTCACTTTTCCTAAAGAGTTAATGCCTGCAGAAAAAAATATAAAAATCCAGGTTAATCAGAAAATAACTTATGGCGCATACACATTTGCATAAGCAATAAAAACTCATATAAATTTATAGAAATGCATAAAAAACTCATGGAAATAATGCAAACGCACCATAAACCCAATCTGATTTAATTTATACTTGCATTATGGCAAGAAATTTAGAAACAAAAAGAATTATTAAAAAAACAATAAACAAAATGAAAGAAAAAGACGAAACACCTCCATTGCCATTGCTGTTGTTGTATACTTGTTAGTGTAGTGCTTTAATAATAATATTATGAAAAGTAACAACAACAGCAATGGGTGGGAAGAAAAAAATATAAATTCAAAACAAGTTAAACACTTACACAAACAAACAAACAAACGCACAAACGCATGCATAGAAACTTTTGTACTCCAGTTCTACTTGCACACGCAATTTACGAGCGTAAATTGCATTAAAAGCGAAAACGTATTGAGTCACTTTCCTAATTATCTTTTTGTTTTCTGCCTTCGCATTGCTGCAGCGCTATGGTCTTTGAGTTAATTCGCGAATTGAGACTTGAGACTTGAGCAGTTGAGTAAGTTTTGTTTATGGTACGTTCGTGTCGGAAGTGTGGCTCGTTCGTGTTGTTAAATTTGGGTCTGCACTTCGTGTCCTTTTTTAGGTTTTATTGCAATTGGCTTGAATTGGTTGTTCGTTTTTGTGCCAAGCACAAGTAAGGAAAGCGACAGTCGTTGAAAGTGAACCGTGCTGGTAAGTTCGGTTTGCTTTTTATCGGTACTAAATTTTAGGAAAAAATCTGAATTGTAAATTTGTTGTGTTGACCACCTACACTGCAACAAAATTCTTTGATTTCCTTCGCCAAAATTTCGCTTACAGAAATAACAAAAACAAGTTTAATGATTGTGCGGAGTACATCGTTTATTCACAAAATAAGTGAAATACGCGTTCCATATACGTTACTTATGTTATAAAATAAAATTAAAAACTAAAACTCTAATATATGTTCTTGTAATTATCGTTTAAAGTTATTTCAAAATTTAAATGATATAAACTTGACAAAAAATATATTGACTTCAGCATTATATCGGAGCCATCGAAACCATCGAAGTGTTGTGCAGTGCGTATGAGTGCTCAAAAATTTTATAACATAATTTCGGGCGTTGCATTAGAATAATTTTGTGTTTACCGAAAAACAGGATATTTTTTGTATTAAAAAAAGAAAAGTTTACTAAATAGATTTGTGCCACTTTTCATTCTTGGTACGGTCGACGACTTCTGAACCTATTTTGTAGTGGCCCACATACATTTTTTAATACAATAAAACAACAACTATTTTTTTGGCCGGTTTATCCGGCAAGTAGCGACAAAAAAAAACAGAAACTATAAAACTATAAAAAAATTTAAAACCGAAATTTGTACACAAATGCAAAAGTAAAAACAAAAACAAAAACATTAAAAGTATACTAAAGGGTAAAGGGCAGCAGTTCAGCAGTTCAGTAGTTCAACAGCCTCAGAGAGTTTCGCAAGGCGCAGTGCTGCATTTTTAGCCATTTTTGCAATTTTTGCACACAGTCAAAGGCGGCTACCGAAGACAACAACAACAACGCAACTAAATAGGATAATCCAAAAAAAAAATTCACAAAAAACGGGTTAAAATCAAATCTAACAAAAATTGAACAGGAGACATATACGAAAAATAAAACTGCAGAAAAAATATAAAGTTAAACATGATATAAAACTTTTTGCCAGCAAAAGTATCTGCATCCGCAACTGTAGCCGCATTTTACATTCAAAATTTGTAGTTTGATATCTTTGTATGCATCTGCGACTGCATTCTGGATAGGAACGCAAAGTAAACGAAGGAAAAGAGCTGATATCTCTTTGCAACCGCAGCATAAAATAACTTCTTTGCTATTGTTGTTGCTATTGTTGTTATATCTGGAAATATTTCGGTTATACATTTTTTACGTTTAATGTTTTCACTGACTGGCTGGGCGACTGAATTGCTCCGAACAACTGTGCCGAACTGTGTCACTGGCACTGGCACTGGCACTAGCACTGGCAACTTACAGCAAATGTGCAAATAATGTCAGCACACCAACTACAACTACAATACCATAAACGCCAACAACAACAATTCAGCCGCTAAAAGTTCATTAAGTACAACAACACTGCGAAGCACTATCGAAAATAAGGCTAAGGATGTCAGCATCCTTTATGGGTAAATTATGATTTTCATTTATTTTTAGCATGCTTTATACATTTTTTATTTATGGCCACTTTTGTAATTTTTATTTTAAAGGAATCCATGGTTTTTTTCTTAATGACAAAAAAATGTTCTCCTATGGGTAGTAAACTCATACATGTAGTAAAACATATTGGCCTTATTATAATGAAACTGATGTTATATATTATATTACAAACGTTATTGTAACATAATGATATCATAATGCATATAAGATATTCTGAAACGAAATTTATTTTATTATAAATTTTAATAATTTTAATAATATTCAATAACAAAATATTTCATTATATTACTAGTATTATATTATTATAATTCTTGTCTAAGTAGATTAGCTTGGAAAAACTTAAAATATTTCTTAGGGGAGGCTTTGAAGTTGACCTATAACCTCAAAAAAGAAGGCCCCTAGAGCAGTAAAGCGTACGCTGGTAAAAACAAACCAGTTCGTCATCTCCATAACTGCAATCAAAAAGTATAATTACATATATGTACTTCATGAAAATCTACTGAAAATCATATAATCATAGCTTGAACTATTCTCATATGTCGTCTGCTGGGTATTAGTATTCCCTGCTCTATACTTTCGAGAATTGGTCGGTATTCCAATTCTCTATTAGGTTGTTATTAGTTAATAATATATATTGAATATACTGATATTCTCCATATTATGATGATGTTGTTTTTTACTTAGAGTTTGCCATAATAATCATGGAAGTACGGTAGTCTCTTAAGCTTAGGAACGTTTACTGCAGCTATCAACAGTGTTTTTAGGGATTTTCCAGTAATTTCTTAGGCTGGTAACACCATCTTGCATAGTCAGGATATATTCTTATGTTTTCAAGAATAATGACTTCTGTCAACAGGAAGATTATTGCTGTTGTAAGCCTTCTATTAATACATTTTGTATGATTATGTGTTGTTATTCCAACTCATTAGGATTTTTTAATTCTACTAACTATCGTTATGGATATTTCGGTATATGTGTGTATAAATATGTATGAAAAAGCACAACTAAAACAATACCACATGGGACTTGAACACATAATAGGAATAAGAAGTATAAACAATATTTCAATATTTTTAATGATCTTCCAAAATCGTCTTTTTTTAATATTTTCTACGTTATCCTGTTCACTTCATAAATAATAAAAACTTAAAAAAAAACCGTGATTTTTGATATGTATATAAAATATCCTCTTTAATCTTTAATACATATCTACAGTATGTAATAATAAAAGAATAATGCCAATAGTCCATATAACATAAATGCTTTCAATTATAATAAATAAATAGATATACATATATGTAGTTGCCATTGATAGAAAGCACCTTACTGCTTTTCACTAGGAAGTTTGCGAAACGGTGGCTTATTAAGGAAATTATTGATGGACCTCATTTGTACCAGAAATTGAGAAAGTCGCATTATCATTTGAAAAACTGAGTATTCCTTAAATTTGAATAAAAGTTGAATACTTTGCAATTAAAAAGTGAAGTCGAACTACATTTTGAGTTCTCCTTATAGATTAGTATTTACTCTTATTGGTCGATGCCACACTGGAATAGTTTTCAAAGATTAATTTTAGTGCACTAATTTTTACATTTAGTGTAAGATGGAATATTATATGAACCTTCATATAATTGAGTAGTTGGTTACCATTACATCATGGAAGGTGCAATGAGTACTGGCTTGGGATGTAGTAGAAGGGTGATACAAGACCGCTCATGTCAGCGATGGCGAATACCGGAGTATTCGAGGGCAATTATATAGAAGAATAAAGGGAAAGGAAATTGATTCAAGTAACGAATGGAAGAAAAAAAGGAAAAAAAGAATGAAAAGGGAAAGAAGGAAAAACCGTAACCTAGAAAATAAAAAAAGAAAAGAAAGAGAAGACAAAGAACCATAAAAAATTCGGATATACCTTCGATACGGAGGAACAGGTGGGGGAACGTAAAGAGAGGGCAATATCTAGGCTTGCTACGTTTGAGCATCTCATGGAACGCATTTTAAAAGGACTACATTGGGAAGAAGTACTTAGGGTACCTTGATGTTATTGACAATGATTTTGACGATCACTTGGGAAGGCTGAAGCGAGCATTTGAGCGGCTATATGCCGAGGGTTGAAAGGCAGCGACGGAAGGCGTGTGAACGGATAGTTCGGAATACGGAAGTAGTTTCATCTTTGATTGGTTGATGTGTTGATATGGTGATAATTGTTCGGGGCGAACAAGTTTAAGAGGTGGGCAATGTTGTGGATATGGAATCTAGTATTCTTAGAAATAATTTTCTAAGAATGTCAGTTTATTTTGGAATTAAATTGTATTGTATTATTGTTATGAGAGTAATTGTGTTTGCGTTTGATAAAATTTAGAGCAATAAAAACGGTTACATACAACTTGGGTCAATGATTTAATTATTTGTTGGGATCCAGTGATCGCGAACGACTACGACGAATTGTGAAATGTACACAACAAATTTATTAAATAAGTTAGAAACTTTTTTTAGTAAAAGAGGAGATTCATTTCATAAAACTTTTCTAAAAAAAACTACTATAACCATTTTCATCATTATAATATATAAGTCTGCATAGCAATCTTAATTTACTAAATAATACGAAAAAATGAAACGCAGAATCGTTTAATAGGACTACCCACTAAAAACAAGTATGTGACCTATTAGCCTCGAGAAATCGAAATCATTTAATGACAAACATAATTTGTTGATAATTTGCTCCATTAGTCGAAGTTAGCAAAAAAAAAAAACAGAAACAAACATTTTTTTGTAGAAATGAAGGGGGCGCGTTTATAGTAAAAACAGGTCGTTTGACATGTCTGACTTCAGGCTATATGATTGTGTAAGTCTGTGTGTTCTTCACACACACAGTTTATGCGTGGTGGGTTATCTATGAGTAATCAAGCGTGATATCTTGTCTGCCTTCCACTATCAGTTCATCAAACGTTAAACGAAGTTTTTTGTTATTTTTGTTGTTGTTCTAACTCTTTGGGCATATTTAATTGTTCAAATGACTGAAACGAACTGAAACGAACTGAAATGAGTGTGGAATCAAACCGGTTTTTGTCAATAGACTACGTTCTATTTGAATAACCTTAGAAAAGCCTATTTTCAATTGGCTTTTAGAAATGTTTGCTTTGTTTTCATTTTCTTTGTAGTTTATGCCCTTGCTTTCAATTACTACTTTTCTTATGAAGAAACATTCGATAGCTAAATTGCTTTTAATGAAAATTTTTTGTTATTTGTTTTACTTCCTTTTTTCATGCGTTTCTATGACCACATAGTTATTATTTGCTTTTTGTTTCCTATTATTCTTTGATAAAAATTTCATATCATTTTCTTCACGTATATCCCTTTGTGTAGTTATATTTATTTTACTTAAAACTTTGACAGCATTAATTGCATTTTTTCCTTATTCTTTTTGTTTTTCTTTTTAAACTTCGCTTCTTTTATTGTGTCTTCCTTTCTTTCATTATATTTGCATATTAACATGTGCTCGTATTAAATTTGTTTATTTATTATTTTTTCTTTTTCATTGTTTCATTGTTACTGCACTTAGGTTGTTTTTGGTATTATTTGGACAATAGAAATGACAATAACAAAACTGAATTTAGTTTACCGTATTTGACATACGTTGCAGTGAATAAACAACAATAATGAAGAATAAAATAAATTTCAAATAACAATAAAAACAATAACAAGACACACAACAATTGTAAGCAGGATTTTGCTTATTTCAATACGAGTATCACACACACGCACACACTTTTACTACCAATGCTTCTTATTCTTTTCTATTTCTTGCTTTTTTTTAGTTTCCTTGCAATTTTATTATTGTTGTTGTTGTGTCAAACAATGGTCGTGCTTGTGTTCGTGCTTGCGGTAGCAGTGGTAATGTCAGTTGTGGTTTTAACTTCTTAGAAAACTTTTTTTGCTTGTTTTTTTTGTATGAGTGTGTGTGTGTGAGTTTTGCCACTTTTGCCAATAAGACATTTTTCACTGACTGCTGTGCTATAGAACCTACAATTACAATACACTCGCTCTCATGCTGCCACATACATGCGAACTTCTTCTTCTGTTTGCATAAATTTCTATTAACTGTTATAATAATAATTTGATGAATAGCCGTGTTAGTACAAAGCTTCGAGACCTTTGCTTCCTCATTCGTTAGTCAAATTGAAGTGTTGAAAAAGTTTTTTCTTTCAAGAAACCTCAATTTCAAGCTACGACTAACAAAACTGAAAATCAAAAAAATAAAAAATAAAACAAAACTGAAACTCATGTATTAAAATAACAAAAGTTATATATTTGATTTAATTTAATTTGACAGTTTAAGAAATTTTATGTAAATTATGTGTGCGTGCTAAAGGGTTAAACCTTGAAAGTGAAGAAGTTTGGTTGAAGTGAAGGAATTTCCCAAAGAGAAATTTTATTAACATATTAATAAATGATTTATTTTGCATTAAAATTGGTTTAATATAATGTCTGTGGCTGCTGTAATGTCAAATTATTTCAAACTTTAACAGATTTCTGTGTTTCTGAATTGCGAAAGTGATTAGCAGCTATTTGTGTCTTTTGTCCATAATAATATTTGGAGAAAAGTAATCTACATATTAATAGTTCTATAATAGTATTAGTAATAAGCTCAATTAGAGTTAGGTAGTTATATTAGGTAATATGGTATATTAGGTAATATATCCGCCAGTTTTTGTCACTAGATGGTGTTGGTGCTCATATATCTAACAACATTAATCCGTTTATGTCAAACGAAAATATGTTTGACATGTTTTAAAATATATGTGTCAGCTCCCATAAGAGATTTGAAAATGAGTGAAATATCTGAAGAAATACACTTTCTGATGGTTTATTACTATAATAGAAATGTAAAACTATGCGGTTTACGGTAAGGATCCTGTTAATGTAAACCGTACCCGGAAGCGATTCGGAATTTTCTATGTCAAGAATG